TCACACAGACCTCCATGCCACAGTCTCTCCCAATCACACAGACCTCCATGCCACAGTCTCCACCAATCGCACAGACCCCTCCACCAATCACACAGAGCCCCAGATATTAGGTCCCTTGAGTACACACCACCTATTCAACATAATAGCTTCTCTCCACACAAAGCTAATAAGGGGACACATGCAATAACAAGCTGGCCACAATGGTGCCCCAGTCAGTTCCACTTAACAGTGGTGATTTAGAGAGTATGGGTGTGCTTCTGTTTATGAGGACATACTCTCTCGCATTTTTTTAAATTTTGTGGTCGAGACCATACACTGCAGAGTGTACACCCCTTGAGCAGCCTCTCTGTGGACAGTTAGTGACTGACGTTGTTGGAGGTATGCCCTGTTCCCATCATCTTCTGAGTTATCTCTTGTGGACACAAATGTGCAGGCCCCAGAGATTCCTCCCAGCTCTTTTCTACTTGCTGCTGGTTGGTGTCCACTGACACACACACCCCCCCGCCCCCAGTGGACAACTCATCATACTCTAGCTGGCCTCTTTTACTTGTTAAGCTAAGCTCTTGTCTGTTTTTAAACGCGTTCAGGACATAGTTTCAGATTTGAGTTCAAGGCAGTGATTTCGGGGTCCTTCCACCTCCCCTGCCTCTGGAGTCCGTGAGAACGTGACATTCTTTTCTGGATGTATCTTTTTCTCCATGCCTGATTGTGAGCTGTTTAAAAAGCCGTGTCCCAGAATTGAGAATTGGCTGTAGTAGCTCAGCTTTGCAAAGTGTGTTCTTTCCCGATGTATTTGTGCCAAGGTATCAGGTGCCACGCATGTCTGACCAGTGGGCACGGTGAGGCTGCAGTGGCCAAGCTCAGGATCTGGTCTCCTGCCATCCTTCCTAGTTCCTCACTTTCCTCCTGAAGGGGAGCGCTTTCTTAATCTCCTGAATGTCACTGTTGAGAACCAGTCTTGGTTCCAAGGAGTGTTTGCTTCTTGGGTGCTTATGTCTGTAGCCTGTGATTGTCAGGTCTCTCTGGGCGATGCCTCACCTGCAGTTCTGACTACTGTAGGTGACTTAAGGAGCTCTGGTGGTTTATTGGTAAGGAATTGCACTGCCAACTCCTAGGTACTTGATTCAAATCCACCAGCTGCTCTACAGGAGAAGGATTAACAGTCTCCTCCCGTGTGATTTACTGCCTCTGAAAACCCACTGGAGGGGTCAACTATAAGTTCTGACTCAGTGGTACACAATAGAGTTGGATAAAGTTAGGCAAATGCACCCACAAGGGTAATTGGAAGCCACTTTGAGATGTAGGGAACAGGAGTTCTACTTGGAGCCAGCAGTTTCAGGGTTAGTTGCTAGGTGGCGCTGTGGGTCGGTGGCCGCTTGGCTGCTTTCTGACAGGTGGACGTGTCGTTGGTCTAATGACAGAGCCCATCTCTTTGGGGAACTGTTTGTTGTAGCCAATTACCTTGTAAGTTGCCATTTGTATCTTTTCTGAAGGCAATGCATTTGCCTAATATGTCAGCTATAGCCTTTCCTCAGCTGTAAGCGTAGGGTCTCACTTCATGGGGATGGGATTTCAAGACTCACTTGTGCATTTGTTTCTGGAATGAGATAGACCTGTCCTGCCCCCCTAACACTTTTGCTCCTCCCTAGAATGGAAGACCAGTTTGCAGCCCTGCACGAAAATCCCGACATGTGAGTTTATGGGTTGGGGTTAACGCTCTGGGGTCCCTTGCCAAGGTGACCAGTGTCCAGGGAGTGAGAGGTGGTGCCCCTGAACCCCGGAGTGACCTGGCCTGTGTACCCTGCTTCCAGAATCATTGCTACCCCCGGGCGGCTGGTGCACGTGGCTGTGGAGATGAACCTGAAGCTGCAGAGCGTGGAGTACGTGGTATTCGATGAGGCTGACAGGTAAGGCTGTGCACACACCTGCGTATCTGGGTCATGATTGGTTACCAGGCTGAGAAAGCAAAGGGAGGTGGTGGGGTTGCCGCAGGAAGTAGCTCTGCCAGGGGGACCTATGAGGTGAGAACAAACTCAGAGTCTCCCCAAGCTGGGGAACACAGATCACACATGATGTGGTGCAGAAGCTGGTCTCTCTGGGGTTCCCTGAACAGACATCTTTTAATTTTGCATTATTTTTAGGTGGATCAGAGGGCTGTGAAACTCACAGACATGAATTTTATTTTATTTTTTAATTTTCTTTTTTTTAAAAAAAAACTTGTGGTTTGGGTGAAAGGTTACTGAGCGAATTGTTTTTTCATTCACTGGTTCATGCACCTCACTGAACATGGGCTGCAGTCATTTCCCTCAGTAGAACACTGCTCTCCCCATTTCCTCCCTGTGATTCTCGCTTCCATTCATCCCTCTGTTCACCTTCTGTACTTTCTTCCTGGACACATACTGCCCTTTGATCTCATGAGGTCGACTGACTGCCCAAAGAGCAGTGTGCACGTCCCTGCTGTTACTGTTCACCTTCTGGGCCTGTCTGGCTGGAAGTTGAACCATAGAAGTCGGGGGTTAGAAGGAGCGGGGAATGATTTGGTTCAAAGCTTGGAGGGTGACCAAGAGTTCCACCAAACTCTAGAACACAGACATTCTGAAGCCAGACAGTTGTGAGTTCAAATCCCAGCCTTGCTACTTCCCCATCTCTGAAGAAGTCAGTCAAGGTCTCAGGACTCAGTTGTCTGAGCTGTAAAATGGGTATTAAATTGCTCATACCTCGCAGGGCTGCCTTAGGAGGAAATAAGTCCACACGTCAGGCGCTTAGAACTGTGTCTGGCAGAGAGTCAGTGGCACTCTTCAAAACTGTAGGAAACAGACTGTATAGACTTCGGTTTCAAGGTCGTTACTGCTTACGAGAAGGAGCCCTGGTGCTGTAGTGTGTTACGGTCTGGGCTGCCAACCCAAAGGTCGTTGGTTTGAATCCACCCGCCTCTCTGTAGACAGGAGATGGGCATTCTCCTTTTACAAAGGGTCACCGCTTCAGAATCCTCATGAAGAGTCAGAATCAACTCAGTGGCCAGTGGGTTTGGGTTTGCTTTGAGTGATATGACTGGTGAACATACTTGGCTGCCAGCTGCAAGGTTGGAGGTTCAAATCCACCCAGAGGCACTTCAGAAGCAAGGCCTGGAGACCTGAAAATCAGCCACTGAAAGCTTGTGTGCAGCACTGCTCTGCCACATACGGGGTCACTCAGAGTCGGGGTTTGACTGGCTTTAGAGTGATGAGGTGTCTGTTGAGTGAGTTGAAGAAGGAAAAGTGTTTGAGGGTGACATTGGTACTGGGGCAGAAATCATGCAGGATGAGGAGACGAGCCCTGCCCTGCCCCTATCCTGACCTTTGCCCTCTGCCCTCTGCCCCTGCAGGCTCTTTGAAATGGGGTTTGCAGAACAGCTGCAGGAGATCATCGGCCGCCTCCCCGGAGGTCAGCAGACGGTGCTGTTCTCTGCCACGCTCCCCAAACTTCTGGTGGAGTTTGCCCGGGCCGGTGAGTGAGCAAACCAGCCTGGGGTGCGGGCTGGGCCAGGACTGGAGCCAGGTGCCCTCGCTGACCCTCCCTGGGCCTCCGTCCCCCTCGCTGACCCTCCCCGGCCCTCCATCCCTTCACTGACCCTCCCTGGCCCTCCGTCCCCCTCGCTGACCCTCCCCGGCCCTCCGTCCCCTCGCTGCCCCTCCCCGCCCTCTGTCCCCCTCGCTGATCCTCCCCAGGCCTCCGTCCCC